CTGACGATGTCGTATTGGCTGTGATCAGCCGTCAGTACAAACTATTATCTTAGCAAAAATAATAATGCTATAATCATTTTTAATTTTGAGTGCTTAGCTTTCCATTTAAGATGTAATTTAAAATGCACAGGTTCATATCATGGCAACGGTGAAAAACTGTTTTATCAACATTATAAGCACATTGTACATTTTAAATAATTCGGAAAATTTACACATTTACGGCTTCACCGTGACACGAGGAGTGTGGTAACACCATCGAAATACCCAGCCTCGCTCGCCCCGTGAGCTAACAAGTCTGTGCGTTGTGTACTCAAGGCGTAACCGGTCTCTGCGTCCACTTCAATATTTGCGCGGCCCCGGCTTGTTCCTGGTGTGGAATCCATTCATGGGGCCGATAGGACTTTCGATTCGCCCGGTACATGCCTTGTTAGCGCGTACATTGGCAAAATATACTCCTGAGAAGCATGAGCCTCGTTCCAAATTGGAACAAACATTCGACAAACCAACCTACCACGATTTCACACAGGTCGTAATATCTAAGTTGAAATACCTTTTCCATATTATACAGAATGACAGATAAAAACAATCTGTAACAAACTGAGAACTTACTGACATAATTGGCAGAATTCTGTCAAGAGAGGCTATTAATGAAAAAAGGACAACTGTGAAGTTGCGAGTCCAAAAAAAGATTTCGTCAAACATCTAAATTATCTATCTAAATTATGTATAGGGTTGATACAGTCAGTTAGTCAAATCTGCATCATTGAATACCTTTACATTTATCTTATCCTTTAAACGAGCAATTCTTGTATATATATATATATATATATATATATAATCTGAATCTCGGAAACGGCTCCAGCGATTTTCATGAAATTTAGTATGTGCATAGATTCCGAGGCGAAAAATCGATCTAGCTAGGTTTCATTTTTAGAAAATGTCCTTTTATCCCTGTTTTCAGGGAATGAAAAGTATAATTCGAATATGACGGTAAATTTCGCCGCAAGAGAAAATGTCATAATAGCTCGGTCGGTAATCGGGCGGCCCCAAAACAGACGGCCGTGGTTCGCGTCACGATCATTTACACATTTATTTTTTTACTTTTTTTTCGATTCCAGATCATTGCTTTCTTTATTTTTAATTTTTTGTCGATTTGTTATTTTGTTATTTTTTTTAGAGCTTTTTAAAGTTGTTTCTTTTGTGAAAAACACCACTTCATATTTTCTTATTATTAGGTCGGTAAGATCCAAAATTATTATGCATATTTCATTACTCAGTAATTTGTATCTAAATTTAATTTCCAAAATATACGATTTACCAAAAAAAAAAAACAAACCGAGCAAAGCTCGGTCCTCCGGGTACTGTCCATAATATGTACAGATATGATAATGCATTTGAACGTGACGGTATTTCTTAATCACCTAAACAGTAGGATTTTAATAAAGTCTCCTAATTTTTGATGTTATCGTACGTTAATAAATAGCACTTCCGTCAATCATGATAGTATAGTGAGAACGCTTTGGAATCCAAGGCACTACAAAGGAATTTTGTGAGAACTTGATATGAGATTACATCAAAATCTTGATGAAACTTTAAACCAACGACCGGTATGGAGCGCTTAAAATAAATTTACATCAGCGCCTTTTAAATAACATACGCTTTAACATTTTAGATGTAAATAGTTCGGCAAGGTTTACACATTTAAATTATTTCTACAATGAATATTTAATCGAGTAACATGAATTTAATATTAATACCCGTATAAATTATTTCACTTAAAACTGGGAATTGGTTTCAAAGTAATGTTTACGTGCCTAAGTTCTATAAAGAAGAATAAATGTCATAAAATTCAAAATAAACAGGATTATATGATTCATAGGAATAGAAAAAAACTGTTATCAAACTTCTGGTTCTAAATCTCCTTTCATGTGTACAGATTCAAATGTTATTAATATTTTTATCTATGTTCTTATCGTATCTCTTCTGATAAGAAAAATATCTTATTTATTTCCTGTGTATATCATTTCTTCTTGACATTAATCGTCAATTGCTCAACAACTTTAGCTGCATGATGTTTGAATATTATGCCACCTAATGGTAAGTGTGATGGTTTAATATAACGCAAGATTCAAAAGCTAGTACCAACTAGCCCAGTAAAAAGCGTGTCGTTTAAAATCATAAAAACGAAACACCCAAAAAGGTCATTGAACCTTTTTGTTTATCTTCCATAGAGTAATGATATATTATTTACGCGCCGCATTCTTCGTATGACAACGGGCAAGTCCGTGGTCATTACCATCAAATATGCGCCGACTGCGTTGTTTAGTCGATTTGCTTTTTCATATATTTCTTAGAAGCGTTGTTCAATCATTTTATATTCACTTTTTACCGTGCTTTGCAGCAGCTTCAATCCAGCGCTGAATGTTTGTATAATTGCTCATTATGTATACTCAGCGGTGCAGGAATTGTAGTAGCAATGTGAATTCACTACGAACGATTGTTAGTAGGTAATATAAAAGACGGCGTACATACTTGTTTAGTTGGTTAGTTGCCCACGAGTGCATTTTTTTTTTCTAAATTAAATATAAATATTTCTTCTTCCTACATAGAGTTTTATTTCTATTAATTGATTTAATGAAAAGAATAAATCTATAGCAAAGCATGTAACACGCACTTCAACGGTATCGAGGCAGAAATCTTCAAGACGTCCTGCGATTTAAATTAGGATGGATTAATAGAGAAGAGGTATAGAGAAAGATACAGAGGTTGTACACAACACTTATTCAAAACACTAATTTCTCTTGTGAGTCGTTCTTATTGCTTTGATATTTATTGCTATATAAGGGCTCCACAGATACCGCTGTCTAAAATGAATGGTTTCCTGGAGTTCAAAAATCTAAAATCCTTATATGTAACAAAACTGCCTCTACAAAAGGTATAATTTAAAAGGACTCAAAAATTTTTTATCACATTTTAAACTAAAACAAAACTTACATTTCCATAGCGTATAATTATAAAAAAATAACGTTTTTATCCTTCAAATATGTTGCGGAATACATTGAGGAATTGCATTCCTCAACATTTTACATAAATGTAGGTACTTTATTAAAACTTTAAGATGGAGTACCCGTCCGTAACTTAGACTTTCGTAACTAAGTATTAACTGAAAGACTAAGTATAAAAACGAAGTATAAAAAAGAGATAAATACTCACGATCGTGAACAATAGAAACCGCACTGAGATTACAAGCAATTAGTACATCGATTTATAAATACTTCCGATGTAATTTCGGGGATTTGCCTTGGAGAGCTTCCTGCGGAAAGAGAAGTATTGATTAATTAGATGCAGTAACCATGATTCGAACGTTTATAAAATTAAAGTGCAATTATAAACGTTACTACAATATTCGAGTAATATTTGTACAAATATGATACTAACTGTCTAACTTAAAACTTTATGTAGTAAAGTAAGAGCCTTTATTATAGTGAAGTAACGTAACATCCATCGATATGTATGCATCACGTCTCGGCAAAGGCCTTCTATGTACAGAGGGCATTAGGGCTTAGTCTACCACCCGACCTCACTGCGGGTTGACGAAATTCACATATATTCGAGATACATGCGTACTTCTATTGTGACATATATTTTTTAATTATTTCGAAAACATGCAGGTTTTATTGGTGCTGGCAACGAGATTTGAACTCAGGGTGTTTATATTAAATTAAAAGCGAGCGCTCGAACACTGAGCTATGTTCGATGCATGGCTTTTTAATATATAAACACATTAATCATCCTGCAGACAACAAATATGCAACGAAATAATTAATGTGTGTAATTTCATATTTAACAATCCAAAAAAAAAGACAATCTACGTATATAATCTATAATCTTAGTCTGATTACGTCGCTTTGATGAAACCTCTAAATTCTGTACAAGTAACGACTAAAAGGATCGATTTTGAGTTATGAAAGCTTTGTAGCAATTACGAAAACGGAAATCAAAACGCACCGCCGCGCGTAGAACTGAATAATAATTGTTTATTGAAAAGGGCAATTTGAGAAAGAGAACAGACGCAATATCGGAACAATGATGAGGGTTTATCTTAAAGCTATTTTAATACATCGGCACCGGCAATCGAATACGGCCGCCGTTAATAATATTAATCGAAGCGATTGGCCACAAAATGCTTTTAACGTAATTCGATTCGGCCGGGCTGGTGCTCGCGTGGAGGAGGGCCAATTTAACCGGAGCCCCACCTCCCCGCGCCGTGGATAATTTTCACACGTAAACGAAAGAAGCATAGGTTATTTTTAACGGTCCTAAAGAACTGGTTAGCCGATTGTGAAGTCATCGCGCAGCGACGACGATATCGCCTTGAGACTAGAGTCTCGGATTACCCGGATCACGTTCAAGGTGTGCTTAAGCGAAGTGGTGGTCAGTGACGTTTAAAACTATCGCCTGTTGTATAGTGTCGATACTATACTATTCCGCACATGTCAATACTTCTTGTATATGTAAACAATCGGTATAATTTTCCAAGAACAACTTGTTTCGTTATCAAACGAAAATTACAAAGAACAAAATTTTATACATATTACTATTTTCTATAGAATAGTACTTTTACGTTCATTAACATACATTGTTCAACACAATTTTATTAAAATTTCTCGAGTTATTCCAATAAAATCTTACAATTTATTGAGGTAAATATGAAACTCGAAATGATACTTCCCTTTTTTCTTATGTCATTTCGAACAACCTTAGTATCTTGATCAATTATCTGGCATGGCATTATAATTAAAATAAACATACCTTTTAAGCTTACAACCATCCTTAATAAAAGCAGAGTTCTATGCACGTTCGATTAAATTACGCCCATAAACCACTATTAATCATGTTACGTGTAATTGACTATAGGATCGATATACGATATATAAGATACACGAAACGAAAAAATATGAAAAATATACACTTTATAACGTGGTTTTTATTTGTTACAGGTACATACATTCTAAGGAAAAACCGTTTAAGTGTACAGAATGTGGCAAAGGTTTCTGCCAGTCGCGTACTTTGGCAGTTCACAAGATACTGCATATGGAAGAGTCCCCTCACAAATGCCCAGTATGCAGTAGAAGTTTTAATCAACGCTCAAACCTTAAAACACATTTACTCACACATACGGATCACAAGCCATATGAATGTAACTCATGCGGAAAAGTATTTAGAAGAAATTGTGACTTGCGACGGCATGCCCTAACACATGCCGTCGGTGACGTTCCACCTGGAGACGTCCTCGATGTAGGTGAAGAAGATATTGGAAGACCTGGATCACCAATTGAACCAGGCTATGACGACGAAGACCCGGATCTATCATCACCAGAACACTCCCCTGTTAGAAGAGCACGATCACCGTCAGTCGAAAGTATTGGACGAGAAAAAAGTGAGGAAAGACCCAGACGGGCTTCTCCATCACCGGTAGAACGTACACATTGCCATCATAATGAACCAAGAGACAGAGCAAGTCCTTACACAATGCGCCCCCAACATATTGAAAAACACAAAATGTCAACACCTGACTTATATGAAAAACGGAGATACACTTCAGAAGAAATAATTGAAAAGGAGATGCGTTATACAGAAATTCCTGATCAGCAAGTGAGACATCCCCAGTTACAAATTCGAAGAGACTTACATCAAGTACAACCTCCGGACCCGACAAAACTTGGACTTATGGCAAGTCCTCCTATAGAGCCAAGACCTTCAGGAATGTATTTGAGCCCCTTTAGGAAGAGAACTCATCCACCAGATATCGGAGAAGCCGTAAGAACATGTGCTGCTATTTATCGAAGCCGGTCTCCTGAACCCACAAATCTAACAGTTCCCCGGCCTCCAATTGGAAATGGCGATGTTGTAGTAGCAATGCCGCCAACGCTGATAGGCATACAATCCTATCATAAATTTGGCCTACCATTACCTCCACCTCATCCTCAAATAGCTTACGGTCCCATGCCACACACAGTGTTAGGACCACAACAGACAGTTGCTCAAGATTTAATTGTAAAACATGTCCCACCTAAAGATACCGTACCGAGTACTACAACAAGTGTCACCCATTGCAAAGAGCTTAATCCATCACATTCAAAAGACCCCGATGAAACATGTTCAAGTGTTATTGCTAATGGTATAAAAAATATAGTAGGTATACAACCAAGTACACACCCTAAACCTGGGAGCAGCAGTTCCAGCGGCCCCAAGAAAGGCTTTAGTATAGAAGATATAATGAGACGTTGATTCCATGAGAGCTATTACAATTGTTGCAATTTACCTTAATAGAAAGATAATGTAAATAGATTTAAGTGTTTATTGTCCTTAGCTATAAGTTACTATAAGATGGAAAGTATTATTAGATCAAGTTTTTGGTATGTTATATTCCTAGAGGTACATTTGTCCGTAAGTACGATAAGGATTTAGTTTTCGTAAAGATCTCATAACGTTTGTTTGTGCAGTGTTTTGTTTACATCCAAATTTTAAAAGCTAGTTATCGAAATTTTAGGCCATACCTATTTTATATTTCGTGTTTATATTTGATATCCAAGGCGATCTAGAAACGGAACAGTTTTGTATGAGATATAAAATGTTGGATTATGTTGAAGAATGTATATTACGGATCAAAAGTTTAACTGTGACTGGTTCAAATGTGTTATTTATTATTTAACTAACTTTAAATAAAAGAAATAATTAAGATTAATGATAGCGTTATGTAAGATGTGTTGTTCTTTTATAGGTACTATTTACATAAGTACTATGACTGGTGTAGTAATTTTCTGTAAGTAATTGCAAACTGTGAAAACGTATGTATGTTAAAATAAAAGCCATTTCAAAACTTTACATAACAACAACACACGTTTATAATGTCATCACTTGGCTTAATAATAAATGTAAAGAGGCGAATTCGTAAACTTTAACGTGTTATATTTAGAAATAGAATTTATATTGACTTTGTTGTCAAAGATCCAATAGTTTTAATTGTTGCTCAGATGTAATTTAATTAAGAAATGTCTTCAATTATTCTATACGTGTACATTCAACTTTTTACTAATAAATTATATGAAATAATTCATATCTTTAATTAATAAATTCTAGTGCTTAAATCCAAAATGATAAAGTCAGCAATACAGAAAATCCACGAACTGACTTTAGCAGTGTTGAGAATATCACCATACATTGTACAAATATGATTTCGTAAACTTAATACACCAGATGATTCTACTGGGATATTTTTCCTCGGCGAATAACAACTCTGAAGTCTTCTTAAACTATATAAAAAAGATATTCCTCAACCATAGTTTAGTGCATCAAATCAAGAGAGAAAAATTAAGATACCTTAAAGATTTTTTAACTTTAACTAGATGACAACTAATTGCTTTTGTCATAGGATCACAACTGCGTATTTTCTAAAATAACCTAAACGTATTTGTCTTTTTCAAAAGTTCTTTGTTAACTGAAACAAATTTAATCGGGGGTTATTTTACTTCTAAATTAAAACAACAAGAAGGTGTTCAAAGCCTTAATATCTCCGGCTCTATAATAATTAAGTCTTTTATTTAATTTAAGCACTTTAAATCATAAAATAATTATGTATCATCACTACAGTATAAAACAAAGTCGTCCCGCTGTCCTTATGTATGCTTAGATCTTTAAAACTTCTCAACGGATCTCGATGCCGTTTTTTTACTAGATAGAGAGATCCTTTACGGAGGGTCTAGTTTTAAAAAGAGTTCCATTTTCACTTCTTTAACATCCGTCTTAAATATCATATCTTCAAGCTTGAACCGGCTTAAACAGAGACCTTATCAATCTGTATGAAATATTTCCAAAGCCTGTAACTCGACATTTACATCTAAATATGTTTGATTAACATCAGGAGTCATAACACATTAAAATTCATGCATTTACGTCAGCTATGCGGCGGCCAATGAAGCATTTTAGATCAGAAGAAAGGAGAAAAAGAGAAATAAGAAATTGTTATGAATAAATAGAAAATGGGATTTTATAAGAACGTACATGTTGCAACATTCAACCTCCGTTTATTAACTCTTCATAAAGAAATTAGGCACTGTGCTATTTATAATCATGTTACAGCCCACATTTAAGTGAAGGAAGGCTACGTTAACTTTCATGGAATACCGACGTACCTTAACTGGGGCGGTTAAAATTTGCACATTAAACTTGTTTTATTATTATATCATATTTTGGTAAACTAACGCTTGTCTTTGTTTTCAAAGATCTCGTCCAAACATTTTCTTACTATATTTAATGACATGCACCGATAATTTATTTTACTAATCAACCTTGTTACAATACTAACAAACAATCGAAAAGATGAATATATTATAAAGAGATTTCAATAGAAAAAAAATCTGTTTAACATACAATGTAAGCTCAAAAAGCTTACTGTGTCGCCTACTATGATAGTTTTTATTGTTCACTCGTGCATGGTATACAACAAACCGTCGATTTGTAGGCTTTCCAACTGAAAGTGCGACCAAGCAAGTGTTCATAACTAAAAGGAACGCTTTAACGAACGAAATTTTACGATCGGCCGCGCGTGAGCCGTTCCGACAGCTACTTGGGAGTTTATGCAAATCGATTGCCACCCAATGAGAGATTACAATAAAAACATTTTAACGAACGAACGTCGCACCGCCGAGACGTTTCAATTCGGCCGGCGCGAAGTGAAAGCACCGAATGTACCAGTTGCGATCGATTACTCGGCCCGATTTCTGTACGTAGCGTGGTCAATTGTTAGAGCATCCGATCAATTGGTGCTCTCTAATAAAAATCGCACGCCAAATCACGCGAAGCACAGAGAGCATCCAAAAAGTACTTTTCAGGTCGTTTTAGATCAGAAGGAAGACCTGCCAATCAAGATAATATATGTTAAAGATAAAGTACAAATCACATCCGTTATGTCATGTTATCCAGCAAGAGACTTGGCACAGGGCACATCCGTCATCATTAGGATCCATAAACGATAGATAGATAACCAAACCTACGACTCTCACTGCTCTTCGCATACGTATTCATCTTAAATATTGGACTGCTTTTTTTAAGTATATTGTGAATGTTGAGCAATGCAAGAAAAGTTTCTTATAAAAACGACATCAGTTTCTTAACTGCAAGAATAATCCAACAGAGACGAATTTAAATTTTATTTAAAATAAGATGTTATATTCATAGACACAATACCGGAATTAATTTTGGGTTAGGTTACAAAATTAAAAAAAAAACAGAAGACGCAGGTTCGGAATCGCTCAGCTCCCAGTTTTTATTCATTTGTCTTTAAAAAATTATAATTTAAAGATAAAAATAGTTATAAGAAAGTAACGACACTAAGGTTTCAAGCTTTATTTATTTGCACTTACTTAAATAGCGCTGTCGTGTTTTAATCCCGAATGTGATATTTTGTGCCTTTTTTGCCCTTATTTATCTTCTTTCTTTCTCCTGCCCTTATCCCACACTGGGTGGTGTTGGCTAAATACGTCTTTATATTTCTGAAGAAAATAGGTAGTTATCACCCAACTTATTTTCTCTGTTTCTCCTAAATGTTATTTAATATCGCATAATATAACAAACATTCCCTAATTACCGAGAAACAGTGCCGAGCCAAACCACGTCTCACCCATCTCAGAAATAAGCAGACAACCATGTCGCAATATTTATGGAACGTGCTTTTGACCTCTAAGCTTTTATTTTCTTTTAGTGTTTTCGTTCTTCACGCTTATGTCGTCGTAATAATGAAAACCAGAAGGAAGATTTTTTGGCCTCAAGTGGTTACGTAACAATAAAACTTGTGAGATAAATTTTATTTTGTATACTAACACAAATATTTTTTAATAATATTAATATTAATTCTTTTTTTGTTTCAGTACCAAGTTTCTATGGCACAATCATTATAGGTATGTCAAATATCTGAAAGTCGGCACGACGTTTGAAAGTTGATGGATGTAGCCTAAGTTAGAACCTATCTCATATTTTAAGAGAGCTATTCGAGCGGTTTATAACCTGGGCCCCAAAGACTCACTAAGAAACCTGTTTAAAGAAATAAAAATATTGACTGTAACTTCTCAGTACATACTTGCTAATGTTATGTATGTCCACAAAAATAAGAATGACTTTTCAAATTTTAGTAATGTACATGATGTAAATACTAGGAACAAGCATAAATTAGTTCTACCCTCAACTAGATTGCGTAGAATAAGTAAATCTTTTATGGGACAATGTATACGCTTTTACAACAAAATCCCAGAAAACGTTCAAAATGAATCCGTTGCTAAATTCAAAAAACTTGTAAAGGAACGTTTGTGTGTTAATGGCTATTATAGTATTAGTGATTATATGAATGATAACACACTCTGGAAATGAATTGATCGCTCCAGGCTCTTTCAAGTCGAGTTTAATAGGAGTCTAATAATTGTACACATATTTGTAATTTTTTTGGCAAGTAAAAAAAAAAATAATGTCCCGCTGAGTTTCTTACGCCGGTTCTTCTCAGGTCAGTAGCTTACCTTCCGAACCGGTGGTAGAGTTTTTTGACTATCAATAAGTAAGTGAATGCTTCTATATTGAATAAAGATATTTGACTTTGACTTTGACTTTGACTATCTTTGTGGGCTAAGTGTGACCTTATAATATGCAACTGAAAATGATATAAATGTTTTTAAAATGTATACTTTGATCGAGATCGTGCCAATTTGCTTATGTTCTCAACTAAAACTGTAATTTCCGTGACTGCCTAGGGGCTATTTTATTTAAACACTAGCGACCCGCCCCGGCTTCGCACGGGTGCAATGTATTATACATATGAACCTTTCTCTTGAATCACTCTATCTAGTAAAAAAAACCGCCTCAAATCCGCTGCGTAGTTTTCAAGATCTAAGCGTATATAGGGATAGATAAACCGCGGGAGGACCTTGCTTTATACTATGTAGTGATGCACAGGAAAGAGACTTTTACATTTCAATTGACATTTTACCACAGTCACTCACTTGTTTTGCCTTCCCGGAACCCCTCCACTAACACTTAAACTATATGGTATGGTATTAAAGTTCAAATTGACTTATAAGTATTATTACGAATCTTTTGTATGGGAACATGATAGAGTGTTGTTTTTAGACTTTTTCAGGCAATTTTTTTAATTTTTCTCTCCGTAAGAACCATCCTCGCACTTCAAAGAAAATTATAAAACAAGAATTAGCGAAATCGGTTCAGCTGTTCTCGAGATTTGC